AGTCTGTGAGAGTCCTGACCTGTCATCACCACCTTTTTAAATTGCCGATGCGCGGTCTTGTCTCTCGACACCGATTTTCCACCCGTGATTTATCCGACTTTTCAACAGGACTGTCTGTGCCATGCTTTCGGTTCGCACCGCTGCATATTTTTCATGTGAGGCCTTCAATCACATTTTTGTCAGTACTGTGCGTTCAATATTCGTGCTGTTACGTGGATATTATTCCCAAGCAGCATGGTAGCCCATTCTGAAGCTATGTTTTTGTTCTAGGCTCTGTGAGCAATATGTGCGGATGCATGCGATCTAAGAAGGGCGGTCACTTTTCCGCGACAGATCCTGATATAAATCACAATTATGTTTCAACCTGAGTAATATCTGCATTCCTTGCAGAGCTTGAGGCCTAATACAAATTGGTACTGCCGGACTGCGTCTCACGTGATTGATCACGGCTTTTTCACCTGTGCCACGCGACTGATTCTCTTAGAACAGCTGCCACCGTTCGACGCTCCTGGAATCCGGCCTGCAATATGGGCGTCGCCGGGCGCCCCGCCGGCCGGCTGTGTTCGGCGGCGACCGGCGGCGCCTGCCGTGACCTGGCCGTCCGCTGCCCGCCGGCAGATCCGGGTGGGCGTGCACACGGGCCCGGCCGTGGCCGGCGTGGTGGGCCAGAAGATGCCCCGCTACTGCCTGTTCGGTGACACGGTGAACGTGGCCAGCCGGATGGAGTCGCACGGCGTGCCCGGTCGCATCCACATCAGCGCCAACTGTAAACGGTGCGTGGCCCCCGCTCGACTTGCGAGGCCCCCGCCGGCTGCACACAGCTGTTGCTGTGGGTGGTCCGCACGTGTCTTAGTTGTGCCGCAGACGTGGGTGATGGCGGTGCACCCGCCGTTTGCTGTTTTTGTCTCTGTTTTGAACTTTCATTAGTTGACGATATATGCATTGAATTAGACACCGCTTGGCTATGCGTATATTCCCCTCACCAGATGTGCTTTACTCTAGTCATACAAACGATTGTAACCGGAATAGAAACGAGAAACCAAATACAGTAAAAAAGTATATATGGACATAACACACACTGATGAAATTAGCACGACAAATTCATCTCGATCGCAAGTATTTGACCAGGCCGCGCTTAGAGGCCAAGATGTGAACATTGGCAGAATTTATTTTTGTATTTCTGTAGCTCTGCCTGGAGGACAAATACAAGGTTGTGAATAGATAACCCCAGTCTTAACTATAAAAGACACGAATTACTTTTGAAAGATATTCGGGACCATCATTCCACGACAGTCGCTCTCACGTGGGGCGTGTGGTGTTACTTGCAGTGGCCAGCTTTTTCGATTTTTCTCGGAAACTGCAAACCAGACTATTCCTATCCTTGCTACCGATATATCGGGTGCGCGGACTCAAACCTTCTGATCTGATTTGTTGCACTGATGGATTGGCCTTGTTCGTTTTTTAGCTTTTTTCGACCCACTTTATTCACCACTCATGAGATTTCTTATATCTCTCCGGGCAAGGGGATCCCCTGAGTAGGACACTTGGTAATACAATATTGTTACCGATCAGGAGCTGAAGGACCATTCCGTTCCACCGCGAGGTTTCTTCCAGCTGCCACTCTGGCGACACGGAGTGGCATCCCCTGGTCGATCCGCAAGCCCTTAGAGGGATGCATCATATCGTATTGGTCCCTTCCTGACGCGGGTAGCCTTCTGAACCGTGTAGTTTATCCTGGATTTCCACAGGGACCTTTATTGACGCGACAACATCCCTGGTCGCCGCGAGCGGTCAAATAATTGGCACTTAGACTCCAGTTCAGCTGAACAGGCCCATGCTGGAGTTGGGTGAGGGTCCGACGCTCGATACTGGGGACCCTGAGTGGAACAGGACCTTTCCATTGTCTCTATATGAGCCGCTATGATGAATTATAATGTTTCCTTTCACTGTCAGAGGGCCCCGACCAACGCAAGAGGTCCTCTGCCATTCGGGGTACCGGCACTGTCCATGTTGATCGAACGTTCCCCTGACCGATTCGCGGCCCCTTGTTGACAGGGAGCATCCTGTTGTGCAATGGGCCCGCGACCAACGCAGAAGTTCCGAATTGTTGCAGAGGTCTTGACCGATACAAACTGCGAGCCTGGCCTTGTTCCTGCTTGGCAATAGGCCCTAAGAGTTCAGAGCGGCACGGAGCCGGTGGTTCTGTGTTGGTGACCTCAGGGGTCCCGAATTGGTGCGAGCCCTCTTACCGACACTCGAGACCAGGCCCTGCGGGTGGGGGCACTAAATGTGACCGACAGCCAGCCTTTCGGGCCCTTCAGCCTTCCAATCGGGCCCTTGATCTTTGTCCCCAATGGGCTCTTCGTCCCCTCTTGATACTTCCTGAAGCGAGGCCTGCGACCGACTCGAGACCACAAGCCGACACATGACCCATTTTTAGGCACTGTGTGCCCCTGAACGACGCAGGGGCATCAACCATCGCTTCAGGGATCCTGACTAATGCAAGTCGTGGCCCCAGTTTTGGTCCTGCCTTTAAAATGGCCCCCAGAGTCCAGACTGACGGGGGGAAACAACTGCTCCGTTTTCGTGGTCTCTGGCCGACCGAGACGCCCGCATTGTCTGGGGTCCCTAAACGGTTGTAAGAGGATCTCCGGCGCACATTTATGTCACGACTCTAAGGGCCGCGGTTCTTTATGTAACCTGCAGCCGGTCCTTCGGGCCTTTATGCCCTCGAATCGAGCCCTTTATCGTTGGTTCCACTGGACCGCCCGGGCCCCTCCCCGGGCCTCGTCCAAACATTGCCTATGGTCGTTTTGGGGGCCCCTTGCGAACACAGGATCTTCTGTTCGTTACTGTGGGCCCCTGACAGATATGGGGGCCCCGACCGGTGTCAACTGCTGACCACGGCTTTAAAGCTCATTGGGAAGTGGGTCCTCAAGTCCAAACCGACGCGGAACTAACTGATCAGTGCTGGTGGCGCCTGAGCGACATATAGGCCGACATCGACTCAGGCAATCGGCGCAAATGGTCTTCTGACTGTCATTTGAGGGCCCGTCCCTGCAGGCTGGAGCCCCCAAGGAAGACTCGACCAGCATTTCGTGCCCTCAAGCCCTCCAGCCGGGCCGTCGGTTCCGGGTCGTCGGTTCCAGTGGACTCTCCAGGTTTTTCCTGTCTCTTCGAATGCTACCTTTGGCCGACTCGGGCCCCGTGCCAATACAGGGTCCCCTCCAGGGGGGATAGAAATGCATTCAGTGTTGCCGACCAAATTTATGCGGCCAACATTGTCGCCAACAGCTTAACACGATACTATATGAGTACACTATGACAATGGCGTCCATGCACACGTCCATGCCCAGCAGTGTTATCAGAAATCGGCGATCACCGAAAGCCTCTTTTGTCACCGCAACTTGCAATAGCGTGCACGCAGCCGAAGTGTTCATTTATACCATATCATTCAACTGATGCCAGGATATCTGTTGCAGCGACGAATGCGGGCACACCGGCATCTGCACCATAGGATAGTTCAATCACAAAAGCAGTCGTTCTTTACCCTCGGGGCTTACCCGTGTCTTCACATCGAAGTCCCATCCACGGCTGAATTCGCTACCCTCGATCGCGAAAAAAACGACGAAGGACTTCGACAGCCAGGGCGGCTGAGTACATGACATAATTCTAGCCGGCCGCAAGTAGCACTGAGGGATGACGTAAAACATGTATGCCTCTTCGAAGCCATGTCTTCTTATGGAAACCACGTGTGCGCTTCGAGTCCGACCCCATTATTATGCTCTCCATCACGCCCTAGGCATGCCCCAAGCCTAGCACGGCATGTGTTGCCTGGTGAGTGCCTTTCGGTGCGCCACAGCAATTGGTTGTGCGGGCTTAAAATCGCTTTCCAGGCTGCCTGGAAGGGAAGGAGCAATATATTGGGTTCCCGGTTGGGCTCAGATTGAGGTGCAGGTGACTTCGCAAGTGCTGGGCAGGACGTAGTGGGGGCGTGCTAAAAGGATGCATCGGAGTCGCGGAAAAGGGGACCCCAGATCTGTTTGAGGAATACAAATATCGGCTGTTTCAGATTCTTGTCATACTGAGCAAAACACCAAAAAATTCTGATTCCCCGGCGCGCATTTTAAACACCACACCAAAACGGTCAAACAGGGCCTGCGTCATTCCGAGGTTATCCTATGTGCTGGAGGGACCTTGGCGTGGCGGAAAGAGCCTAACTAGCTGCTCCAGTGCAAACAACGCCAGCTGAGGCTCACTTGTCTGTAACAGGCGCCTGTCGGCGGCCAAATGATTCCTTGTGTGTAGGCAGAGGGTGGGCTGTTCTCATTCAGCACGGGCATTTTTCTTCACGCTGCACGCAGCAAAAGCAGCCCTGCGTGCACCTCCACAAAACCCCAGATTTGCCTCTGACGGCGTCAATGACAATGGACGCAATACCCTCACTCCTAACCCACACCCCACAGGATCGCTAGCCATGATCTCAGTCGTTGCAAGGTAGTTCTGACGGCTATTTCAGTGGGGACCCTAGGCAGAAAGAAAGAAATGTCAGTGACTGGAAAATTGTATGGGGGCTAAATTGGTCCCTGAATGGCTAAACAGACCCCTTGCGTCCAAGGTCCCCGAACGGCAAGAGGGACAATAAGCTGGCTGGCAGCCTTGGGCACTTTTTGAACTTCTGAGTGTCAAGAGTGCCCCTGACCAGTCATAGAGTCCATCGAGCAGCGAGAAGGGCTCTTGGATGCTGAAAGGAGCCTCCCAGCGGCCAAAGGGCCCTGAGCAGTTAAGAAGACCCCAAGTGCCCAGAGGGCTTTGAAACTGACCAAATCACTCCGGCGACGGGGCCCTCAATAGACAGAGGAGTGCTTAGGTGACTTAAAGGACCCAGTGCAATCAGCTCAGGTCAGGCCGGGTTACTCCAGTCAGCCGTCATTAACACAGGTATTTATGTTGCTAATCCAAAAAATTGTCGCGCAATAGCCGCCACAAAGAGGGAAATCGGCTTGAAATTTGTCGATAGCTTTACTTTAGCCCACTAGTTCTTTCTGAACGCTCAAGTCACTAGTTCTTTCTGAATGAACGCCCCGAATGTAAACGCTCGGCCTCATGTTAGGATCCGATGCGACCCCTCAAGGTTTCTGAAGATATAAGTCCAGCATGTCGTGCAGTCGCGCCCAATTTATTGTGGCTACTGGAGCATTCATTGCACGTGTTTCGGCAACAAAAACGTGTTCCTAGCATTTCTGGCTCCTGATAAGCGACGGATTTTAGGAGCACTGCACGACGATCTACGGCCGGCGCGGGCAACCAAAGACTCCGCGGGCAGCGCGCGCAGACCTGGCACTGTTATATTGACAGAGTCCAACATTTTAAACGTACACTTAAGCAGATAAAACTACATACTTCTGCACCGCATTTAAACACAGAGTACAGTCTTTTAAGTTTCATATCGCTACGCGGTATGGTTGTGTGCGTACGGACATACAAAGTTGAACTGGTCTGGTTTTTAGGAACATTTTACCATTGACTTGATCTAGTGGGGTGAAGTAGCAACATAAAACTTGCGACAATCCGCAAGATCTTGTTGAGAACAATGCATTCTTGCTTTGTTTTACGTGACGCTCTACCTTCTTTGGTTTGGGAATGGCAGGGGCATCACCCCTCCTCTCACTCCACACTATGAAAAACGGAAAATCAAAAACGGGGTTAACACTTTTGGCTATCATTATTTTTATTCATTTTACACATGTTGGTGTAAAAACATGCGCATTTCAGATCATGGAAACAAATAAGGTGGTAAATCAGAATGGCACTTTTCATTACCAGCATGCGTGCAATGACACTAATTGAATTAGCATGCAAAAATACTTGTTTGCACAATAGGTACCAAACAAATCTAAGCAAACTTGTGGTACTTGTGCAACGTGCAAGAGTGTAAATTCAAATTATTTTTGTCCCCCATGATGCAGGGGTGTAAATGTAAGTTATTTGGGGGGCCATGCTCCACCCCAAAATTGATTTTGACCGTTCAATGCTGCTTTTCCTCCTAATGCTTCTATCTGATATTACGAAAAAATCAGGGGAAAAGCAACTAAAACGTAAATCCTGTCTTCTTAGGATTTATTCCGTTTATGACCACAATGCTGCTTAAATAAGAGTTTGCTTACTTTGGTTTACTAAGACAAAACACAAAATGAATATAAATTATCTGCAATCAAAATAGAGCAGACTCATTCTGTTGACCAACGCATTTAGGGAAGGGGAGGTTGTGAGGCCCGTGGCTTGGTACCCCCTCTCCTTACTATGCATGAAAACTGTCACCTATGACATGTGACCACAACCAGACAAAATATGTCGTTTTCTACCAGTGTGGGCTGCATATAAGTTATGATTTCCTCCCTCACAACCTGCACTTAATGCAAATAGTAATCATGTTCAGAGTTCCACCAGAAAAAGTCTCACTTCCTTGTTAGCAAACGCAATAGCGACATATATTACATTTGCATCCATGCACATGGTATGTGTGGGACCGAAGCCCTTCTCTCCTCCTAATACAAAGGAAGCGCACGCCAGGACCAGTCCGTAAAAGGCCGAGCCTCGGGCTGCGGCCCAGTCACCCCGAGGCGAACGCTCCTCGTCCAATCGACGAGTCGGAGAGAAGGTCAGCTAAGCCTATTACGCAGTCCGATGTCGTTCCAGCACAGCGACAAAGAGCGGCAGCCGCGCGGTCACGCGTTGACTGATGCGAGACGTGTGACCGCGGCTATAAGGCAACATAAAGGTCTCCAAGCGCCAATCCACGTGCATCTCTAACAACTAGGAGGCAGTTCTCCCGCCTATGTTTTCCAGGGACACGTGAGCAGAATGCACGCAGCAGTGATCCGAAAGTGGGCGCGCGTGGACCTGCACGAATTGCGAGCCTGTCTAAGGCAATGCAACCAGTGTCTTGTCATCAGCCTTTGGCGTCACATCTCCGAGATCCCCAACTATACGTGTGCACTGGTGTAAAGGTTGCAAAGATCGTATGGGATTGAATAACTGCAGAATGACTCACTTTCAGCTTTTTCTGGTACAATGGGGTGCTATCATTATCAGATACCCAAAAATGTTCGCAGAGACAATAAAATGTCAAGTTTGTACTGCAGTTATATAACAACAGGATCGGATCATCTTGTATTTGAAGAAAATTGTTGTTAAAGGGGAGATGGCGATGCAAATGTAACCCCTCCCTGCGACATCGTGTCCAAGCCTTATTTATCAGTAATTGGTCTCGGACGCCATGTACTATGCTCAACCTCTTCATCTACATTTCAGATCCCGCGTCATGCGGCAATAGACAGGCGTTGTGCGCCACCGAACGTCAACTATATAAAAGGGAAGCCGTCACTAAAATATAGGAACGCTACCGTACATGGTAGTACATCGCACTCCCCCCCCCCCCCCTTTCCTCATTGTCCCCGAGAACAAGGACAATAATGGTCAGGGTTGCTACTTCCCTAA